ATTACTGGCTAAAACACGAGATGTGCATTTTTTCACCACTAAGTAAATGCTAAAAAAGAATTTAGCTTATAAACTTGTAAAGTTCCTAATCAATTTCCCGTTGCTGTCTGAGTAGTTTCCCTCAATTAAATTGTAGTATTTCAATCTTGAGGGGTTGTTCAATTGGTTAGGCATTGAGTTTGCTCCCCAAAGCTTACTAGTTCGAGTCCACTCAGGGCCACTGATGTGAGTGTCCGGCCGTAAATTTCAGAGCCCTATGGAATTAGTCGAGGTGCGCGCAAGTTGGCCCGGACATCCACGATTATCAAAAAAAAATTGTAGTATTTCAGTTCATTATATGCTAGTATGTGATTTTCATGTTGGCATTTCCATATTTCATGCAAAGAACAATATTTCATAATTGTAGCCATCATTGGTAAACGAACTTGCTAGAAATAGTGGACGTGTGGTCACATGCTACCGAAGAAATGTAATGACTGTTAGTCTCTAGCGTTTGTGAGCGGAAACTGAAATAAAATCCTAAATTCCTTTAAAAGGAAAGTAGGGGAATGGCTTCAAAACAGTTTGAGCGTGGTTTTAAGAAGATTTGTGTGCATTAGAATGTGGTATAAGAAGTGTGAATGGTGTATGTACATGCAGGCAAAGGGTGTGATAATAACTCTCATTTCGGCTATAAAGCAATAGGCAGGGCATGTACAAGCAACTCTAGTGTTGCATTCTTAGAAACCATGGCATAGTAATGAGACACCTTAGTGTATTTTTTACATATATAAAGAAGGGTGGGAAATGAAATCTATCTTTCCCATGTTTTTGTTTTTATTAAATCTGAAACATCCATTTCATTCATAATGCGTAATATCATACAATTTCACGAATCTTTCTATTTGATATCTCCCCAACTTTGGCTTGAGAAATGCTTCTAATAGTCAATTATTTTTATCATGCTCCTGCCTTCTCCTACGAGGAAGATATTTGTTTGAAATATTAAGTAAAAGAAAGGAGAAGAAAGCAAATTAATCAGAAGTGAAAAAAGGGAATTGTTGAAGAAAGGAAGAAAAGAAACACGAGATATGTGCTGGAATGAAGGTCAACAGTAGCAACAAAAATATCGTAGTCAGTTTTGTAATTAGATTCTGTCGAGTTTTATAACCTTGACTCTCCCTGTATAATTTTAATCAAAACCCTTTTCTTATTTTGCAGGTGGAATATGGCTGATTACGCACTTCCTTCTTTATCAGGACTTCCCTAGTACATTAAATAGTTTTAGAAATGTTTGGAGGTAACAACAAGAATTCTGCAGTCCTTCCTTTCCTTGACAACAAAAATTTCCTGTGTCCTGCCGAGGCCTCAAATCAGCCACAGTTATATCGAAACTGTAAGTCATAACATATTAGCATATCTTGGATATTGATTTGTGCAAAGATTTTATTCTATTTGTGTCTATAAGGTTATGTATATGGATGCACTTTTTACTGCAATTCCACAAGTTACTGGCTTTCTGGTTCCTCCTCACTGGATATTTTCCCTCTGAACATGGGATAAATAATGATGATGATTGAGTACCTAGAGTTGCATGTGAAATGCATTATCAGGTGAAACATGCTGGAGATGGTTCTACGTTCTGAGTTTAAGATGGTCACGATTGCAAAACTTTCTGAAATGTACATTTTTTATATTAAATTTGACAAGTCAACATTTAGGGCATATTTTGTTTGCAGGATTGGATTGGTCTGGTTTAGAAAAGATTTAGTTTCTTTTTCCATTTTTAGTACTTTCCTGTTCAATCTATCCAACCAGAAAAGCCATCGAGACACCCTGGTTAATTAGATAAGTGGTATACTCCTGGAACCTCTTATATAATTTAGTTACTTTCGTCATCTTGTAATTTATGGCTAAAGATATCTTCCTCCCTCTTATAGTTGTTCTATTTTTTCACGGTATTAATAGCAACATCAGTGGCCACATCTAGTTCTCAGAGTGCTATGCTAGCATTATTATGGGTTGATGTGTTTGGAAAAAATTGATGTCATGGGGGTTTCATTGACATTGCATTAGACTAAATGGAGTGGAAAAAAAGGATTGATGTAGTTGGCCCATGTTTATTGGAAGACTTGGTGACGTAGAACAGGAAAGAAGAAAAGAAGGAAAGAGAAAATATAATTGTAGAATTGAGAGAAAAAAATGTAGCAAAAATTTAAACATCACTGAATCTGTCAAATCAATTGATACACAAATGAAAAACTTTATCAAGATTCTTATTGATCCACTTGAAATTTTAAAAAATTCCAATTGTGTCGAACTTTCCATTTTTGGAATGGTGGAGCAAAAGGACGAATAAGCCCGAGGAGGGACTTATCTCACATGAGCTAGTTGGTGAGGTCAATAACTATAAACTCTCTCATGGGAATCATTTGAAGCATAACGGACTTGATCACGGAAGAGACACAACATTACGAGGTGAAGAGCCTTTTATCGAGATGCGAAACCTTACAGTCAATGTGAACACTTGGGGTCCACATTAGTGATAAATGCTAGTCATATACATATTACATATAACAATATTGGAAAGCTGCCAAAATAGCAAAATAGAAAACTTTGATAACTTAGAAGCAATAATTATGATGAAAAAATAATTCTGAATTAATCAACCTACTTCCTAATTATAGTATGTATCTTAGGTAACTCTTCATTGATATATCTGGGACAAATATCTCAATGGCCATTGAATTTTCTCATATGTTTTCAAGTTGCCATTAAATTTTAAAAGTTTTTAGAAGTTCCACTAAACTTTTCCAAAGTGAATCTGAGTTACCATTGAACTTAAAATGTTTTTTGAGTTTTCATTGAGTTTACCAAATTTTTATCCCATCTGTCACCCCGCCATTTATTTACACGTGGCATGCTCTTGACGTTAGTGTATGCCACATCACCAAAATCGCGAGTGCTGTGCATTTTCAAAATGGTGAGTGGTGGATGGGATAACGTTTGGCAACTCGAAATTTTTTTAAAGTTCAATGGCAACCGTAAAATATTTGGGTAAGTTCAATGACTATTGAAATTTTTTTTGACCCAAATATCTATCACAATCTTCATTGCTTACTGCTTAGCTTCTAGTAGTTGTTGGTCCACATCTATTTCGATCAGGCATGATGTGGCTGCATAGGAAGTCTTCCTCCCAAACATCAGAGAAGTAAAGGCATAATAAGCTTTTTTTATATGATCCGAGATAATGTGGGTTAAGACTTGGGACGCACTATTCAAGAAGGGTTTTCTCCAAGAGGGTATTCTTTCAATGTGCAGCAATATAATCTGAATATGGGATTATATTTGTACTACTTGGGTCTTGGAATAAAATCTTTTGAATCTTTATTGCCTTCTAATGTTAATGAGCACTCTTTCATGTGTTCTGTTCTATTTGTTTCACAGTGCCGATTGATTTTCATGTTGGATCAGTAAATTTTCTTCAAAATAAGCATGGCAGTCTAGGTCTCCCACCTAATGAATGTGGCAAGGACACAGAAGCTATCTCGAGGCGGCAGAACCTTCAAATTTACTTAAATAACAGCATTTGTCATGATGCCGCCGATGGACTGAGAAGCATTTTGAACCAGAATCCTGTGTCGACTGGTTTAAGGTTGTCTTATGATGACGATGAGCATAACTCCTCTATTACTTCTGCAAGTGGAAGTATGATGGCTTCATCATCATTTATTTCGTCTCTAAGAAATGACATCAAAACAGAATTTGACCAGCAGAATGAAGAACTTAAAAACTATCTCAGAATTCAGGTACTTTTCGCTATTTCTATTTTTTTTTATAATGAACTGTTTAGTTATATGGCCAACCATCATTCTCTATCCAAATAAAGTCCATCTATGGCGTTAATCTACACAATTTGATTTTTCTTACGACTTGCTGTATCCTGATTGTCTGCCCACTAATTTTATTTTTTTTGAACAGGAAGAATATATAGCAAAAGGGGTAAGTGACATGAAGCAGACACACACAAATTCTTTGTTGACTGCTCTAGAGAATCGGGTCGGTAAGAAGTTGCAGGAGAAAGACCTCGAGTTTGAGAGCATAACTCGTAAAAACCGGGAACTTGTTGAGAGTATGAAGAAAGTTACAGCTGAAGCCCAGAGTTGGTTCTATATGGCCAAGTATAACGAGTCAGTGTGTGACGTGCTAAAAACCAATCTCCAACAGGCAATGCAAGACTCTAACCAAGGGAAAGAAGGATTCGGAGATAGTGACATGGATGATGCTGCATCTTTGGTTGATCCAAACAATTACCTCGGCTTACCAGGTGGGTCAGGCAAGCCTAAATCACTTGAGAATAATATGGTTTGTAAATCATGTAAAACAAAGGAGGTGTGTATATTGTTAATGCCTTGTAGACACCTCTGTCTGTGTAAAGATTGTGAAGGTTCTGTTCATCTGTGTCCTGTATGCCGGTCGATAACCACTGCTCAAATCGAGGTGTACTTGTCATAAATAATTATGTTTTTGATTTGGCATTTCACTTCTCATAAACAAAATGTTTGTTATCAAATTTTAGAAGTGTGCAAATGGATCGGTGGGGTTGTTATTTGGATGAAGCCAAATGTTATTATGTTTGGTATGTTGGATTGATGATAATTAAACTGGCTTGTGAACATGAAGCTCAGGGAAGATTTATGGAGTTGGTTGTTTACCATGTTAAGTTCTCAGCATTGCATCTTAAAGGAACAGTCATGAATCTATTGTGTTAATGGATCCACATTAATTGAACTTGCCTGAGATGCATTTGTAAACATTCGATGTACTGATGGAAAAACACCTCGTATTGTATTTAAACAGAAAAATCGATTATGCTCCCGTGAAAGTAACAGAATTCATTTGTTCATCAGAGGCAACAATGTTTAGAATTTTGGCACAAGACCATGCCCAATGAATGAAAAAAAAAATAAATAAAAATCAAGAACAATTCTTCCAACTTAGAATCAATGCCTATAAATACCTTATTGAAAATCCATCTTCTTTTCACTAATTGTTTCCTCTATCTTATTCTTCCTCCAAATCCTTGAGGCTGTAGACTCGATGAAGGAGACTCTTCCGTGATTTTTGAGGTATGAGTAAGCCTGCAACCTCTTGACAAGCCAGCCACATTTCTTTTGACTTCTGGAATTTTTCAATTTGACGTATTGCGTGGAATTATGACCATCTGATCCCATATCGATTGAAACCTCGAGTAGAGGCGATGATAGCACGGATGAAACAGTTGCCATTTTTCCCAAATAGTCTAATCCCCTTAGATTTGGAGCATCTAGTTTGACCTGAACCAGTGCTTCACAATCAAAGCAGCATAAAGCAACGAGTAAATTTTCGAGAGAGGAACAATTTTTTAACTCTTCGAGCACTGAATTTTCAATCACTAGAATTTGAAACGTAGAATTTGTCACACGGGTGTTTATTAGTCCCAATGATCTCAAATTTCTGAGGGACAGAATCTCAATCTCACATCCCCCCATTCTTCACCCTTCCACGCAAAAATATTCGAGTTTCGGCGCATTGACGATGATGAGCTTCTTAATATGACACTGATAAACATGCAATTCAGTGAGTGTCTCCTTGGAAATTTCAAGTTCCCGCCCTCCCTTCCATGATTGAAGATGTAATTTTTTAAGTACGGGGCAACCGCAAATGATCTTTTCCAACGTCGCGCAACCCATCAATGTGTTTCTTAAAACTAGTTCTTGAAGTGAAGGCAGACTCAAAGAAATTCCAATTTCTATAAAATAGAAGCGGACAATCTCCAATTTTGTGATTGATTTTGCAGTAAAGATAGAAATACTCAATGCAGGAGGGACTATAGGATAGTATCTTTCCGAGTTAATAATGCTCAATTCTTTCACGTTACTTCTCACGGCCAATCCTATCCAGTTCCAAACAATATTTCTCAAGTCGACAATCTTGCTCATATGCACGCAGACCCTAAATTTTTCGATGCTTAAATTGCTGAAGTTTCTTTTACGACGTACTAAAGTCTCTTCCAAGAATTTCCATATTATTCGATCGGTGACAAAGGAATCCTGATCAAAATCGTAAACCGGGGACGAATACCACAAGGATCTCCATCTTCTGGCCAGAAAAGTGGTCATTCTAGCATCTTTCGCCGGGAGAAACGACATAATATGATGACAGATTGAATCTGGCAATTCTGAAATCCCGTCAACATTGTTTATAGAGAATTCTTGATCATCTTTCTCCATGTTCTGACTTGCTGTAGCTTCCCTGGTGAAACAAACCCTAATTAGGGTACATATATATATATGTAAAAAAATTCAAGATTACTGAAGTTTTGGAGCTGATAAGGTTGAACCTATGTAGACTTCTATTCAACCAGTAATTTTTAACCCTATGAATTAATATTTTCCAGATAATAATGGCCTTGATTTTGATTGAATTTAGTTTTACTAAACCTCATGAACTTTTTCTCTTTATTGGTTTTCGATTTCTTTTTGGATATATGAATAGGTAGATGACTCAGCCATAACTTTGCCTCAGAATCCTACCAAAAAGGAAATCATGTTACATTAGGACTCTGTTCTTGTTCTACTAACTAGAACGGAAAGACAAAATCATATCATTTTAAAAGTCCTTAACATTTACTTATTCTTATACTCGTACCCTCAACTTTTTTTTGTCTCATTTTTGTCTTCAACATTCCATTAATTAATACATCTTATTTCCGATGATGATTTTCATCTAAAGATTCGGTTAAATCTACCTCCTATTCGACAACAATTATTTCAAAACTCTATATTTTACATATTCATTTTCGACCACACATTCATACAATAAAATATTCTGTATGTAAATCCAAAATTTTTACTACTTTTTAATTGCACATTTTCCAAAAATTCACTATTCAAAATTTTATTTTTGCCAAATAATGACGATTAAACAAGGACTAGTTAGAAGAGTTTTTAGTGAAAGTTCGCCCAGTAAGCTTGCTCAAGAGACTTTATACAAAGGCTTGCAAAAGAAGCCCTAAATGCTAACGGAGTATTTGGATGCAAATTGTCATCAGGGAAATATGCGCTAATTAATGAAATGTTAAGGATAATAATGTGATAAAAAAAGTTGGGACATAATTGTGAAGAGAAGTAAAGACTAGGAACCTTTAATGCAATTGAAATATCGATATTTACATTAAAAAAATTTGGTGTCAATATATTTATTTTTAAAATATAATTGCCCTAAAATTTATTTCACACACTTTATGTCAATGTATTGGCCATCAATCAATCAAGTCCTTTTTTTTTTATTACATCTATGTGACCTTAAAATCAAGGACTTGATTGATTAACATATATTCGACACATTAAATTTAGAAATATTAGCCAATCAGTCCTATCCCGTGGCCTTAGAAATAATATTTTATATTGGATTTTTTATTAAAATAAGTTTTTTTTTTTTTTTTTGAGAATTTAGTACAAGGTCCTAGGCACTTGTTTGATTTAAGCATCGAAAATTTAGGGTACATATGAGTCATGTCTACGGACTTTCGTTGTACAATTTGAAAATGAATAGAATATGTCTTGAAAAATAACATGCAAGAATTGAACTTTATCAACAGAAGAAGACATTATATTAGTCCCTTCGGCATTGAATGATGCTCTCTTTACTTCAAAATCAATCATTGCTTCCCAAAAGCTTCAGTATTTTTGCTTGTTCGAGTGTGAAGCATCGATTGTGGTCAAAATAGATGTCTCAAATCTATTGGGATTAAGGTACTATGAAAAAATGATCACCTTTTATCAGTAATATCATCGTCTCTATTCAAGAGTTCAACCAGTTATCTGGAATCAAACAGTCATAATTCCCACTTTGGTACACTAAATTGAAAAACTCGTGTAAAAAATTTCAGCATTCGAAAGAAATGTGGCTGGCTTGTTCAGAGGATGTAGAGTTAATCATATCTTGAAAAATGCGCAAGAGTCTCTTACCGCATGTGTACGGTCTCAAGAATTTGGAGGTCAAAATCAAAATTTCACTCGGCAATGTCAATATAACATTCTGAATATAAATATGATGCTCAAGAAGCTTCAACTTGGTGGGAATGCTATGAGGATTTCGTTGGGAAGTACTTCAATTTCGTGAAATAAAATGTTACATAATATGAATTTTGCTCATTCTCATATGACAAAAAACTTAAGATTATTTACTAAATTCCTAATTGCAAATCTAGTCAAAGACAAAAAGGGTTAGAAGTTGTGACTATATAGGAACAACCTTACTAGAATTTAGTTTTTCACATATTTTATGCGATAGTTTGTGTTTTAATTTCATCGTAAATAGATGTCAAATTTATGTTTGTCCTTAAATTTTCCATAAATAGAAGCAAAAATATATGGTTAGTACAGTTCTACACACATGTTTTGACACAACCTCGCAACTTGTCAACTCAACGAATGAGAGTTAAAAGTTCGAAAAGCACACAGTTCAAACTATCAAGCTATAGTGGTGAGCGACCTACTCATCATCCATAAATTTTAAAAGTAATACTACATGTACATAATGATATATATAATGGTGACATGAAAGAGTTATTTTGACTAAATTGATTTGGTTGATTTGCCCAACTTTGATCCATTTGAACTTATTTTTTTGATTATTATCTGAATGCATCTTTTTCAATTTTGACTTTTACGACTTGTTTGGTCCTTACTTGACTTAGCTAAAAAATTTAATAGAAATTTAAGTTAAAATGAATAATTAATTTTAATACATATTTCATGACACTCACGAATTCATCAACTTCTCAATTGTACATTTCATAATTTTTTATTAAAATTTATTAAAAATCTAATTTCTAGCAAAAACCGAAAAAGGACTTGACAAAAATATGTTATCAACTTTTTAATCGATTATATTTTAATTTTAATCTCACGTTACGCATAATTTTTTAATCCTACGTTATATTAACTTTTATTGAAGTATGCTAAAAAAATTATCAAAAGCTTCCAATGATATATTTTACGTGGAATCTGAACAAAAGAAATTAAACTGCAAACCCTCTGCTAAAATCCGTCAAATATTAATTGACATTTCTGCTATGTGCCTACCAAAAAACTGATGCTTATTTCTAACAAGAACAAATTTGAGATTCAGTTGTACTTTGTATCATTCTGTTTTTACCTTCCTAACCATGTATAACCAATGAAAACCCAGAAAATTTTATCCTTTGCAAGAAACATAACTTCTTTTACTCAGAAACGCACGCTCCTAGTTTTACCACATTCTTTTCTGCCGTCACACTCGTTACGCGGACATCGTCGTGCTAGTAGGAATGTTTACATGTATAACAAAGCCATTGATGATTTAATAAAATCTGGATCTTTTGATCCTGCCCTCAAACTGTTCTACGAAATGCCCAAACGCGATGTCGTTACATGGAACATTATGATTTTGGGACATTATAGAAATGGGCTTCCAATAATATCTTTACGTTTTTATAAACAGATGATTTCGGAGGGAATTGTTGAGAATCCGTCAACTTTTTCATCTGTTTTGAGCGTGTGTTGTAATGCAGGGCTGTATAGAGAAGGACTTGTAGTTCATTGTAGAGCTATTGTTTTGGGCTTAAGTGTGAATATTTACATAGCTTCTGCACTTACTGATCTATATATGAAAATGGGAATTTTTGATATTGCTTTAAGGTTGTTTAATAATTTGCCAGAGAGAAATTTGGCAACATGGAATGTTGTTTTACGTGGGTTTTGTGATATGGGTAGATCGAGAGAGATGTTAAGGTTGCTTAGAAATATGGTATTGGAGGGTGTGGAGCCTAATGGTCTTAGTTTTTGTTACTTTATTCGGGGTAGCAGTTATGAGAGGTGTTTGGATGAAGGAATGCAGCTGCATTGTTTTGTCTCTAAGAAAGGATTCGTTGAATCAAATTTGTTTGTGGCCAATGCTTTGGTGGATTTTTACTCTGCTTGTGGGAGTGTGGTCGATGCTTGGAAATCTTTTCAAGTTATTCCACCCGAGGATGTGATTTCTTGGAATTCAATGATTTCATTGTGTGCATCCAATGGTTTTCTGATTGATGCTTTTGAGTTATTTGAAAGAATGCATTTTTGCGGCAAGAAGCCGTCAGCTTGTTCATTCTTAGGATTCTTAAAGTTAGCTGGTGCAACGAAGAATATAATACTCGGGAATCAAATTCATTGTTGCGTTTTGAAATTGGGTTTTGATATTGACAGTGTCCTTGTTCTCTCTGCGTTGATTGACATGTATGGAAAATGTGGAGACATTGAGAGCTCGGTGGATATATTTGAGAATGTTTCAAATAGAAGTCTCGAGTGTTGTAACTCACTTATGACATCTTTGCTTCGATGTGGTCTAATCGATGATGTGATTGAGTTGTTTGGTCTGATGATTGATGAACAGATTGGATATGATGAAGTTAGCCTCTCCTCAACTCTGAAAGCATTGGCGGTGTCTGCTTTTGCTAGTTCCACCAGCTGCATGTTGCTGCATTGTCATGCACTAAAATCTGGGTTTGAATCTGATAATGTAGTCTCTTGTTCTTTGATTGATGCTTATTCTAGATCTGGTGAAGTTAAATTTTCCCGCCAGGTTTTCAATCAGCTTTCCTTACCAAATGCCATTTGTTTCACATCTATTATCAGTGCACTTGCACGAAATGGAATGGGAATGGAATGTCTGGTGATGTTTCGTGCAATGATCCAAAATGATCTAAAACCTGATGACATAACATTTTTGTGTATACTAATGGGGTGCAACCATTCAGGACTAGTAGAAGAGGGAAAATCGCTCTTCTATTTGATGCAAAATGATTATGGGATACACCCAGATAGGCGGCATTATTCATGTATGATTGATCTTTTGGGTCGTGTTGGTTTACTACATGAAGCAGAGCAGTTGCTAAAAGAAGCACCGAGGGATGGAAAATCTGCGATATGGAGCTCAATGTTACGGAGTTGTAGGATTCACCAAAATGAACAAGCGGGAAAAAGAGCTGCTGCAACGCTAATGAACCTTGAGCCAGAGGACCCTGCTGCTTGGTTACAAGCTTCAAGTTTCTTTTCTGAAATTGGGGATTTTGACTCTGCAACACAATTTCGGGAGGTTGCTGTGGCAAGAAAGATCAGAAGAGATATAGGTCATAGTTTGATTGAGGTGCATGGTCACCGGTAAACATGCACCATAATAATAGGTGGTTGACACAATCTGGTACAAA